CAGCTCTGATCCTGGGGGCCTCTTGCATTCCTATTTTCTCCCCTTTGTTATTTAACCTCTTTTGTTTCCTTCCCTGCTCTTTTTCAGGGCATGATTCAGTACAGATTCTTAAAAGTATACCTTGAGGGCCCTTTCTAAAATCATATAACTTTTATTACTAAGTGTCCTTAAAAATATTAGCACCAAAAATATTAGTTCTCAGGCCCAGCATGGGGGTGCATGACTATAATCCCGCTACTTGGGACGTGAAGGTATGATGATTACGGCCCAAAGCTGGTCTGGGTAAAAGCATGAGACCCTGCCAAAAGCAAACTAATGCAAAAAGGCTGAGAGTGTGGCTCAAGTGGTAGACAGCTTGCCTAGCAAATGTGAAGCCCTGAGTTCAAATTCCAGTACCATAAAAGTAAATGTGTCTATATTAGTTCTCTTTTATTTAGTCTCTTAAATGCTAATCACATTACATTCATAACACTTTCTTAAAACAGCCCTATGGGTCAGAATCTTGAAATTGAAACTGGTACTCGAGTAAAGAAAATACAAAAAACATAGGCAATAAGCAACCTGACATGATACCAAATGGAAAATGAAAGTAACTTTATCCATGACAGTCCCAATCTGGAGATAACTCGAGTGTCCATCAACTGGGGATGGGATAAATAAAATGGGGACCATCATGTAATGAAATCCTTCTCAGTGATAAAGAGGAGCAAACCATTGGGAATGGGGTTTGTTCTCTATACTGAGTACCAAATCACAAATTTATTGACCTAAAGCAGCACATGTTCATTTTAATTTGTCTGGGGCAGTGGTCTGGGCAGGCAAATCGGGGTCCCTGTAAAGACTGCAGTCAAACTGCTGTCTGGCGCTCAGCTCTCACGCACAGTGTCAGGGGAGCCACTGCCAAGCTCTTCTGGCTCACTGACAGAATTCACTTCCTGTGAATGTAAAACTGAGGGCCTTGGCTCCTTGCTAGTTGTCAGCTGGAGGTTTCCTTCAATAGCTAGAAGTTACTCCCAGCTTCTAGAGGTCACCCCCAACTCCTAGAAACTCCTAGAGGTCACTCCAGCATCAAGAGATCACTGTCAGCTTCTAGAGGACACTCTCAGTTCCTAGAATCACCTTAGCATCTACAGGTTACCTTTGACTCCTAGAGGCTACCCACAGTTTTCTGTCATGTGGCCTTTGTAAGTCTTCCCACAATATAGCAGTCTGCATCTTCAAGGTAAGCAAGAGACAAAGAGAGTTGACTAGCAAGACAGACTTATGTCATACAACAACCACAGGAGCAGTAGTCCATGACTTTGCCGTGTTCTGGAAGCAAATCACAGGTCCCACCCACACTCATGGGGAAGGGGTTATACACGTGTATGAACGCCAGGACAGAGAGGTCATGAGGGCTGCCTTACAGTCCATCCTCCACAACACAGCTACACAGATGAATCACTGTAATAGAACAGTGAGAAAAAGAAGTTAGACCCCAAAGAGTACAGACTATGACTCCACTGTCGAGAAATTCCAGAACAGACAAAACTAATCCGTAGTCGCTGGTCCATGGTTACGCTGGGAGTAAGGAAGAGGAGGAGGAGTGACTATAAGAGGGCACAGGCAACTCTGGGGTATGTGAGTGCGTATTTTGGTGGGCATGATGGCTCCATAGGTGTCTACATTTACCAAAGCTCATCAAACTGTGCATTTTAAATGTATACATCTTATTTTATGCAAATTATACTTCTATAAAGTATATATTTTTGGGTGGTACTGGAGTTTGAACTCAGGGCCTTGTGCTTTCTGGGCAGGCATTCTACCACTTGAGGCACACCCCTAGCCTAATACATGTTTGAAATGGCCCCATGAATTGTACATTTTTATCTCCATTTTACCAGTGAGGAAACTGAGGCTCAGAACATGTTGATGGAGCTGGGTTCTAAACAGGTCTGGCCACACAGCTGATCTCCTTTCCTCTTTGGTAACATCTAATCCTCCTCTGGGCTGCTGTTTTCACAAAGAAGCAAAACAAGTGGCCTGGAGAGCCAAGAAAGTTCTCAAGACCTCATAGAAGTGTCTGTGAGTCTCAAACTGATGTGTTCCAACTCAAAGATCTGCCAGGCCTCATTTAGCCTTCTAACAATCTTAGTTATTAGTGCATTTTAAGTTTATTTGTATGTGCCATTGTTGAGACAGTTAAAATATTGCTCTCTTAAAACACATCATCCTAGCCAGATGTGGGGTGCACACCTGGAATCCCAACACTCCGGAAGCTGAGGCAGGAGGATTGAAAGTTCAAGGCCAGCCTGGGCTACATACAAGTTATAGGCCAGGATGGGCCACTCCACAAGACCCTGTCTCCAAAGCAAACAAACCATGGCTGGAGGTGTGATTCAAGCAGCTGAGTGCCTGCCTAACATGTGCAAGGCACTGAGTTCAAACCCCAGTACCACTACTACTACCATCACCAACCAAAAAACCCCAAACCACAGAATCCTCTGCATAGTGTTACCCTTCTGCCTTCTTTGTAGCTCACCAAGTCCTGAGTTTACTCAGCTCATCCATCGGTGGCCACATGTTTCATGGCCAGTTTTGGCCAGTTGTGGGCATTTGATCCCATTGAGAGAGATGTTCTTAGAAGGGGAACATGGTGCAGAACTGATCAGTGAGGCCTAAAGTGCTTGCTGGAGAATTCTGGAAAGTTCCCCCAGCTTCCTAAAAGCAACACAAGAAAGAGGATCTTCCCGGACGACAAGTATAAAGGTATGCCCCAGGGAGCCAAGGTGGATCACAGATAACACAAAGGGACGGTGTGAGGTCAAAGTTCATACCTGAAACTAGGAGTCATGACACAAAGCCTCTAAGTCCTTGCGTGTGATGCTGAGTCGGATTTACTCAGCCCCATCTCAGTGATTGTAAGCAAATAGAGTCCTTTATTGATTTAGTCACAGCCAATATCATCTTCTATAAAAACACATAAGCAGACACAGCCATCCCCATGCTGTGTGTTATTCTTGTAATCACTCACATACACTACATTTCCATTCAAAATTATACATCGTATGAATGCTGACATGAGCTTCATCCTCAGAAGTATTTGTTAATAAAGATTAGAAACACCCCATCTGTAAGGACCTATTTGAATTAATTAGAGGCACATGCTGAGATACAATTAAAAATAAGGAAATCTCTCCATTCATACTAATATGAAATGATTTCCAGGATATGATGCTATGTAGAGAATCAAGAGTCAGAAGAGTATCCTGAAGACTTTTAAGTCTGTGGCCAGGGAAGAGCATCTGAAGTTCACCACCAGGACTGTTGTGGTGCAGTGAAGGAATGGGGAGGGTGGATGCAAAACCCTAAACAGAATTTTCATCATGGGCAGGCTCACTGAGATTACACAGCAGTGATAGGACTAGAGGAGTCATGCTGCCTGCTGTATTAGTCAGCTTTGTGCAACAACAACAAAACTCTGAGGTACCTAACTTTACAAAGAGAAGAGGCTTATTTGGCTCATCGTTTTAGAGGCTGGCTTAGCATAGGCTCCATGTCAGGGTGCAGTGTGTGCAAGTGGAAGTGTCCCACCTTGAGCCAGGAAGTCAGAGAGAGCTGAGTGGGGCCAGGCTCAGGCTTTTGTAACAACCTTCTGGAATGAATTGTAGAAGCGCAGGATGAGAACTATCCCATCCATCCCAAGGGCACAACCCCGATGACTCAAGGACCTCCCATTGTGCACCACCTCTTAACGATTTTACCATCTTCCAGTGCTTCTACCCTGAGTCTTGAACAGATGGACCTTTGGGGGTCAGTCAAAGCATATCCAAGCTGTAGCGCCAGCCGTGGTAGGGATGCTGTGACACATGCCGGCAGATCCAGAACATGTAGTCGACTTTTAGAGGCCAACACGTCAAGGATCAGATGGTGGGGCTGCTGTATGTGAGTCCACGTCTATTTTGAAGATGCTAAAATTTTTTTTTAAAATCATATACATAGAAACTCTGGCAAGTCTCACAAATAAATGCTACCTACCTGAAGCATCAACATCTGACTGACGTAACTATTTCTTACACCAGGGCTGGCTGTGTGCCATACACTAGCCTCAACCCTTTATCTGAATTGGCTTATTTCATCCTTGTTGAAACACCGTGGGCCCATATGATTTGTTACCATCAAATTATTTGTTACAGATGGATAAGCCTGAGGCACAAAAATGTTAACCGGTATACCTGGGCCACATTAAGTAGTAGAAACATGGCCTGAGTCCAAAGTTCATGGGATTGTCAGGACTAAATCAACTCATTCGTGCTTAGCCATGCTGGACTTAAGCAGTGGTCAGTCCTTTGAGGGTAGTCCATGCACCAGCAGTGTTAGGGACTGGTGAGGAGCACATGTAAACACTCATAAATATTTCCCAAGCTCAGGCAGACCTGGGTTTGTACAGTCACTGCATGTGGATGTATTCTTTGGCTGGCATGAGTGGCAGGGGAAAGAACAAATCCACACCCAGCTGAACAGTAGGGCAGCACACCTAAGTATTGTACATGTACGTGCTTTGTTATACAGCAAACACTTACCACCGCTATGGACTCTGCAGGAAATCTTCCTGTGACCATGAAAAAGGGATGGTGGCATGGCTCACGTAGCAGAGAGCCATTTAGCAAGTGCAAGGTCCTGAGTACTGTCTCCCTCAAAAAAAAGAAAGGAAAGGAAGATACCATAAACTAGGAGGCAGAGGAGGCTTCTGCCAGCACAGTGTGGCAGATTGGCTTCGTACAGTTTTTTTTAATAAGTGGAAGAAGCACACTTTAAAGTAATAATAAAAAGTATAGTATAGAAACACGGTCATTTATTTTTGTGTATTTTGTGTATATATCATTCTGTGTGCTAGGCTTTTGTCAGCCTGGCAGTGTAGCACATGTGCTTACACCAGCATCACAAGTGAGTCACTCGTTGTCTATGACATTAAGCTGGCTATTATGTCACTATTTCCATTGTGGACCAAGCATCCTTGTATGGCACAGAACTGCAAATCCGAATACCTGGGGATGAGGAAGGAGGAGGAAGAACAGGTGAGCATATTTTTGAGGGTAAGTCTAATGGGCAGTCAAGATTGAGAGTCCTTACACTCAATTGAAAAGGATAGAACAGTACAGCAAAGCAAGGAGCCTTAGCCTCTGGCAATCACTTTCTCAACAGCCACTCCTGCTCCATCCCTCTCTGATGGGCATGTGAGCTGAGCTGGAAGAAGCCAGGCTTCTGTCTTATGAAGTTCCTGTCCACAATGGAAGGGGCAGCTGGAAGCACTTATGCCAGCAACCCTGGCTGGGAGATGGGTCTGCAAATCACTGCCATGTGCTCCAGCGGGAAGGCACAGGCCCACGTTTCTTTCCTGCGCTTTCTACAGCCTCTTTCCAGGCTGCTTTGTTCTCCCCCAAGAGGGTCCTCTGAGTAGCTTGCTTTAGTTTAACAATGTGATCAAACATCTAGAATCCTTGCAGTTGGCCAGATCTGGAAATACAGATGTAAATCCAACATTGGCCCTCCCTGGTGGGGGAAGCAGGAAGTAAACCAACAGCTAGGATGTGGTGTGATAAGGATGCTGGTGGAGAAAAGTACAGAGAAGTGACAGCTTGGGAAGGGGGGCCCTTTACAAGGGCTCCAAGAAAAACTGGAAACAACACCAAGACCTTTTCTTTTAAAATATTGACTTATATTCTAATGTTTGGAAAAATTTTAAACATGGATATTGAAAATACTGGTTTGATTTTGTTATGTTTACTTCAGATCCTTAAAAAAGAATAATTCTGAACTATTTCAGACATAGAAAGTACAAAGAATAGAGTAACAAACACCATAGACTGGGGTGATTAAGAACTCCCAGGCTATCTGGTTCTGCAGTGTGATATCAGAGAGCTTACTTAATCTCTCTGTGTCTTTGTCTCATTTACAGGCACTCACACCTGCCTACCTCAAAAGGCAGCTGTCAGGATTAATTAAAGTAAAACTCTTAAATGAAAACAGACTATAAACACTGTTGTTCCCCTTGGATTCATGACTGAGTTTGTCAAATCTTAGCATGTTGCCACTTTTGGTTTAGATGTTTGCAATAAAGAGAAATATTCTAACAACACACCTTTCAAGACCCCTGTACACATCCTTCCCTACACTGACCACTGACAGCAGGAAAAGGTAGCCATGCAGTCAGGGTGACCAAATGCCCTGCCTCTGCATCCTGGGGCAGGGTAGCCCTGGCTTCTGAGGAAAACTATCCAACTTCTAGTCCAGCATGGTCAGGCAGGAGAAGAAGCTGGAGAGGTGACTATATATGACAGGTAGAGAAGGAAGAGCTACACATGAGTACTCAGGTCCCTTCACAGACACAACATTCATCCCTTCCCTCCCTCCCAGGAAATCCTCAGGGTCTCCCCATAAAATAAGATAATAAAATAAGTAACAAAATGAAGACACCTTGTTCATCTTGATCCCCAACTGGGAAATTTCCAACATGAGGAGCTAGCTTTGAGGGAAGAGTGACTGGAAGTTCTTGATCCCCCGTCCCCAGCTCTGTGGGGACAGGCGAGTGATGGAGGGGGTGACCCAGACAGGGGCTTTAGGCATCTTCCACTTGACTGAGGAGCCATTGCGGGGAGGGTATCTTTCTGGAACACCGCACCCCACCTGGTAGGTATTTCCTTCTGAATGAAGTGCTAAGCAGGCCCCTGACAGCAGCAAACCTGTGACTTGTCAGGCATGGATGTTTGTGGGGAAGGCCTTGGGCATAAGTCTGTGTTAGCTCCCAGCCTTCGTGTGAAATGTGCTCTCCTGTCACCCCTGGGCAATACCATCATTATTTATCTCAAAATGGGCTTTCCCCCTTCTTTCCTCCCCTCGGTTTCTTCCACATCCGTTCCAGCCGTGCTGAGGACCAGCTGCTCAGAGGCCCATCTCTCATCAACTGCCTTATCTCCCTGATGAATAACGTCCCCTTCCCCAGCAGCCTGGCAGGAGGCCCACAGTGGAGCAGGCCGCTGACAGCACAGAGCTCAGGCAGCTGTCAGAGGAGAGTGGGCTGCCTGAGGGCTATGGGGGTGAGGCTGAGGCCTTGCAGACACAGCCCCCGGGGCCCCACAGCTCAGCATCCAAGGGCACGATCCTCAGGCTGTGTGCTGGGGAAGCAGTGTACATTGCCCTTCAGGGGTAAGGACTGTCCATAGGAGATGTGATTGGTCTGTAATAACAGAGACCTCTGGACTCAATGTACCTGGAAATAGACTTAGCTTCCCTTGCTATCGATTTTCCTCATCTACAAAGTGGACTAAGATTAGTGTTGTATACATGCCGTGAGAGCTCTGTTCAGTTCTGTGCCAGCCAGTACACCTAGCAGGGGCAGGTAATGCTATGCCCATGGTCTTTTCCATCCCCTTGGGCTCATGGTAACCACAATCCTGAGACAACTGATAGGCTGAACTTCCCCGAGAGTCACCCACCCAGAATCAGTGAAGGCTGCTTTTGGGGACACAGCCCAGCCCTCTTTCCTTGGCATGATTTGTACTCCAGTGTCCCCTGTGAATCTGGCCAAGGCCTGGGCTTACCCAGCTCCCTCCATGAATATAATGCTTCTCAATCTCTTCCCAGGGCAAGCTAGGTACCGACCTCACAAAGGCTTTGTGTGAATATTCTAGATGAGTCTTGAAAAGTGCTTGGCACCCAGCAAATACCCAACAATGAGTGACTATGATTCCTTGAAACCATCACTACCAGGCAGAATGTAACTAGGACAGATCTGACAAGTTCATTGAAAGCCAAGTTCTGAAAGTGGAGGGCCTAAGACCCTCAGAGGTCCTTTAGCCTACCTCTCCTCCCAGTGGGGAAACTGAGGCCCAAAGAAGAGAAGCAATGCTCTCAATAACACACTACAGGTCTAGATCAGTGCTGGGACTAGATTTTCTCCACCATTCCTCCTGTGCTCTTGGCTTCTTCAATCCTTTTCTCCTGTTATTTGTTAAAGTCTTGTTCACTTTAGATGCACCAGGACACTGAGGGGTGGAGCTGTTTCCATTGTAGGTCCATCTCCACGTGGATCTCTTAAGCACCTACTATATGTTCAACACCTGCTAGGGACTCAGGAAGGTTATACACATCCACTTTGGAGCCTAAAGACCTGCACTCAAGCCTCAGTGGATTTTGTTCTCACTTGCTTCATCTCTATACCTTATTTATTTCTTGAAGAATGAGGCTATTAATCTACCTCATTAGGTCATGGTGAGGGTTAAAGATAATGTAATAAAAGCCTGAACATGATTCTTGCCACAGAGGGAGTACTTTATAAATTAGTCATTTTCATTATTGTCTGGGGGACAAGGTAGGGAAACCTGAGTACAGATAGTTTCACAGAACATTTGGCAATGTCTAGAGATGATTTTGGTTGTCACCACTGGGTATGGAAGCTACTGGATCCAGGGGCAAAAGGCCAGATGCTCCCATCTTACAATGCACATGCCAGCCCCCCACCACAAAGAATTACTCAGCTCCAAAATGTCCATGGGGCTGACTTTGGGAGCTCTGAACTGTACAGCTGCAAAGTCTGACTTTTGATCTCTAACACCAATAGCTGTGTAGCTTTGGCAGGTTCCTTAACAGCTCTGTGCTTCCATGTTCTTATAGATTTTCCTTTTCAGACTTCAATGAAAACTTGTACTTAAGCCTCCTTGTATGTTAGCTATAACTAGAAATCAGAGAAAGTGGGGAGACAGAAGAAGCCATTTGATTCAAGGGTTTGGCATCCAGAAGGAACCCCAATGTAATTTCTTTGGGGTAAAAAGGAGGCTGCCAGTGAGGTGCCTAGGGGTGTAGAGAGGGAGGCATGGGAGGTGGAGATAGGAGAGATAGATTCCTTTGTCCACCAAGGACAATAGAAGGAAGAAGAGATATGGCCAGCTATGGCTATAATGGAGGAGACTTGTTTTCTTGCTATCTGTCTATCTATCTGTCTGTCTGTCTATCTGTCTGTCTATGCATCCCTTCCAACTGGCATCTTTGGTTAATGCCCAAACCAAATCAGAGCAAAATGGAAATTTTCAAAAGACAGGAATATCACCTGTTGCTCCCTCCCCTTCATCAGATGGACAGTTTTCCATCCCTCCTCCCAGGCCCATCACTTCTCAGCATTTTAGTCATAAAACAGGTTCCCTTTTCTATTGTTTTATGTCATGTAAAATTGTACCATAAGCATTTTCCATGATATGACATCATTGTTACATTTCTCATTTTTTCCAGAATGAAGATAACCTCATTGTTTTCTTCTGCTTGTAAAAACACAGTGTCCTTTTATTTTAATGCAGACAATAGCAGAAAAAGAAACCAATCCCTATTTTTCATACCCCACCTTCAAATAGCAAAGTTAGCATTTTGTTGAATAACCACCCAAACAAATCTCTGCATTTTTATGAGTTTATTGATTTGCTTATTGATATATAGATAGATAGATAGATATAGATATAGATAGATATACATATAACCATTATTGAGCTTCCAGCTCATTTTCAACCTTGAGGTAAAGGTTCTCTTATTGTCTAGGTTAGTGCTTGCTATGGTCTTAATGCTTGTATTCTCCTAAAATTCATGTTGCACACTAATCCCCAATATTTTGGTTTTAGGAAATGAGGTCTTTTGGAGACAACAAGGTCCTAAGAGTGAGCCCTCATGAGTGAGATTAGTGATCTTATTAAGCGGTTCCGGAGAGCTACCTTACCTCTTCTGCCTTGTGAAGACACACCTAGAAGGAACCAGCTATGAACCAAGAAGCAGCTAGATCTTTTCACAGACACTGAATCCACCAGCACCTTGATCTTGGGCTTCCCCAGCCTACAGAAGTGTTAGAAAGAAATTTCTGCTGTTTATGAGCTTCCTGGTCTGTGATATTTTGCTGTAGCAGCTGAAAAAGACTAAGACAGGGTTGTTGTTTTGGAAGAATGGGCTGTGGATAGGATAGGTACTATCCACTAGCCAAAAAGCCCTGGAAGCTGCCTTTAAAGAGCAAGTGTTAGCGATGCTCAGTGAGTTCATTTCCTGAGACTCCTGTAACACAGTACCACAGGCTGGGTGGCTTAAACAACAGAAATTTATCCTCTCACAATTCTGAAGTCAGAGTCTAAGTATCAGCAGGGTACCAGGCCTCTGGAGGTTTTAGGGAGGGTCCTTTCTTGCCTCTTGCTGGCTTCTGAGTTTCCAACAATCCTTAATGTCCCTGGATCAATCTCTGAGCCTTTGTCACCGACATTCTCTTCTTCTTCTGTGTATCCATGTCCAAATTCTCCTCTTGTTATGACACAGTCACTGAATGACCTTCCTTTCCTTCCAGTGCCATCTCATCTTAACTTGATTACATCTGCAAAGACCCTATTTCTATATAATGTCAACCTAACAGGTAACAGGGCTGAGGACTTCAACCTATTTTTGGGGGGAGAGAGAACACAATTCAACCCATGATGGGTGGGATGCCCAGGGGGTGGAAGAAGAGCATGGAGCAAGGATGGAGCACCAAGGACTCATTCTCTGACATGAAAGGGAAAGACAAACTCTAGATAAAGAGACCAGGATTTTGCAGCTGAGACAAGGAGATGAGGAAGAGAGCTTCCTCCAGCACCTCGGGTCTGTGTTTTATTAACCTCCTCGTACTTTGCAAAGAGGTCCTGGGATTCATCAGAGAGCCCGGCTGTCTGTCATCCCTGCCGGGCCCCTTCCCCACCAGTGTGCAGCTGGCAGCTTCCTTGTGGGCCCCACAGGCCCCTCTGCAGCATCCTGTTGTCTGCTCCTCTCCAGCTCTTGGTTGGCTGCCACCTAATTTCTTTTTGTCCTGGACTAATTTCTTGCAGGCTGGTGGGAAGCATTGCTGATTCCCCAAGTCCTTCCATATGGCCAGTTCAAACCCTCCCTCTGCGGAGCACACACATTTCCTCTAGTTTATCCTTGCAGCAGGACAGTGTTAGCATAACCCTTAGGGAGCATGGAGCTCATCCAGATGTTTTGAACCCTCCCTTTTGCTGGTCTGGTCAGTTCCCTGGGACCCCTTCCCCAAGATTTGCTGCCAAAGGATGCATTTCCACAGGTGGAGTGGAGAATTGTTCTTGGGGCTATGGAGACAGTTCAGAGCAAACCTGAAATCTCTTTGCTAGTGCACATGGCGATCAGAACATTTGGATCCTTCCTAGGCCTGGCTGGGAGCAGATCTGGATGTGATGGGCCAGCCTGTAACCAGAATCACCATGCTTATCACCCTTTGCCACCTTGGATCTCGAAGGATGGGATACAGTTACAAAATAGTGGTGGAACAGCTGAGAATTATGACATTTCTGCTCACTGAGGCCCCAGCCAAAGCCCCACCAAGATTTGTTCTTGCTACTTCAGGCTTCGCATAGTTGAAGAAATGACAACACTTCTCCAATGGTTAAGAGTCACTCAGTCTTGAGCCCCTACCTCTTGACGCTGCCTGAAGCCCTCAGTAATCCCCAGCAAGGCATCACCTGTCCCATCCTTACCATTTAATTATCTGCTGGCCTCAATTTCCTCTGGAGTGCCAACAGCCACTTCTGAGAAACAGCTGGGACCAAAAACTCAACCAATAGAGCTCATATTAATTTTAAGGCTGAAATAACAAGAAAGTCAGTGACAGCCTCCAGCCAGGATGTGTCACCTTGTGTGGGATTGAAAGTCCTTGCTCAGGCATGAAAGACGTAAAGCTTGGGCCCTGTGGGATTGTAGAGACAGAAGGGAAGCTGCAAGCAGCTTAGGAGGGAGGCTGGAATGTTTTACTCAACCTCATCTCATGCCACCACCTTGTCCTACCCTGTACTGCAACTGTGGAACCCATTGCAAACTTTGCCACTTTCTCCCAATATCAGTCAAAGCAATATTGATAGCAAGCAACAAACTCATTTCAAAATAGTGTAGTCAAGAAAGGGACCTTCATCACTGATCAAAAGATAAAGATGGCTCTGGATCAGGCTCAATAGGATTCAGGGGCTCAACTAACATTGACAGGGCTTTTGTCTCCCTCTTTGTCTCTGTCCCCAACTAGCAGTTCTTCAACAGATAACATCCCTCCATGTGGCAGGGACATGATCTCCATCAGCCCGCTTACTTTACTTTGTCTTATGCGGCCTCTCTCCTCTCTCCCAGAGCTCTCTTGTATTCCCAGG